GAACATCCATATGTCCCACCTAACAGAACTTTTCATTTCCCAATCAATGATAAAACCTCCCCTTAAGACATCCAATGTCCTTTTGGAAAACTTCATGACTTGAGCAATAATTGTGTAATTGAAGAGATTCTCCCAGAAACATTGGGACTCTTTGACGCTTGCCATTCAATATCAGTCGTTGGAACAATTTGTCCTGGATCAGAATCCGAAGTGGATGAATAAATCATTTTAGAAAGTCCAAATACTTCTCTAAAGAAAAATCCCAATCAAAATCTCAACATAGTCATGATTGATGACACTATAATTGTCAATCAAAAGAACAAACAAAAGTTAGAAATGAAAATAATCTTGAGAAACATATTGATTACGTTCCTAAATCCAAACCTACACATTCAATCTAGATAAATGAAAAGAAACATACCTTTAGCACTTATCCACTTGTTAAGAAAACTGCCTTCAGGTCCAAGAGAGGTTACTTCATAACAAAAAGAATATGGAAAAATAAAAACATCAAGAACAGCACATCGTCAAAATCTAGAAAATCACACACCACAACATCACCCAACACTACATCTTTTTTTCAAAATTTGTTGAGAAATCACACTATGTTGTTGCTACCCCCATACAAGTTTGGGAGCCCAAATTAACAAACTAATTTGCAGGCAATGAGCGAGGATCATGGATTATAATGGTTAATCCATAGTTCCTGCTCCTTGCACATGAAGGAAAGGATGGAATACCTTAGTGACTTAAAGTTAGTCACACATGGTGGTCAAGTAACTTTTGAAAATTATGCAAACATAACTATCCGAGGATATAGTGTTTTGGTGAATTTATATTTCTCAATTAAAAGGGTTACATTTGTTGAATGTTTAAAACACAATATATAATGGTTGGGAATGTCTACGAAGTTGGTCATCATGTTCAATTCGACGATGTATACAATTACATCATGAAGAAATATAGACCAAGATGTCTAATTAAAACAAAGGATTCTGGAACAATGTTCTCATTAGACATATATCTAGTCATCGGCAAACCACAACTATGTTTTCTGTCAAAAGCAGTCTCCGAGGTCAGTTGGCAATGGCACTAGAAACTTGCTCAACTTAATTTTCAGTATATGAATAATCGGGTTATGGGAGAAATGGTACGAGGTTTTTCCTTTCTCAAAATTTACAATGACACTTTATGCCCTGCTTGTGAGTGTGGAAATTAAACGAAAAGAAGCCATCCATTAATCCTAGATTCATCAATTGCGGAACCTTGGGATTTACTTCATATTGATATCTACGGTACATCCACTATTTCCATTCTACATCATAAGAAATATATCCCATTCATCATTGATGATTACACTCACTGCATTTGGACTTTGTTGTTAAGACTGGATTTAGAGACACCATAGACTTTGATCAACTACATCAAGGAAATAGAATTATAAATCATGCTTTGCATTAGAAAGATCCGAAGCGAAAATGGAGCAATATTTATTAATCGAATTTTGAACAACATCCTGGTGTCCATATGAATCAACCACAACTTCTCAGCACCATACACAATGCGATAGAATGGAATTGTAGAAAGAAGAAACATCATTCATGTAAAATATGCTAGATCAATGCTCAACTTCACAAATTTGCCTCTCCACTTTTAGGGAGAAGTAGTTGCAACAATTTTTTTATGCAAAACAAAAGCATCATTGTCAAACGCCTCAACAAGAGTCCATACAAAGGTTTGAACAATCATAAAGCCAATATTCGTTTCATTCATATTTTTGGTTGCAAGTGTTTCGTGGTAAACAACATGGAGAACCTGAATAAATTCGCACCCAAATCTGACGAATGAGTCCTTTTGGGATATTCTACAAATAAAGTTTCATACAGAGTTCTGATCCGAAGAACAAGAATAACTGGAGAATGTTTTGATGTGAAATTTGATGATTTCTATGTATGAAAGACTGCTCCTCTCAATTAAAATAAAATTTATTATGGAGAATGACATTCTAATTCTGTATAGCCCTCTCAATATTTGAAGTTAACTACGATACTCTTTTTGATCCTACGAAGAACGTAATACTATTTGAGATCTTAGTCTCACCCACCGCACAACTACAACATACCGAAGACACTGGACCACCAATCACTGAAGGCTCCTCACATGTAACTTCTACTTTGTTGGGTGAGGGGTAAAGCCTGCCCTATAATCCACCAATTTGATGGGTTATGAGCACAACATCACTCCTATGGTGTACATGAAAACCCTAAAGCTTTGGATCTAGTTTGTCTAATGAACATGCAATAATCATCCAAAGCTTATAAACCCTAGATCTAGCATATGATAATCGATATTATCATAATAAAAGGGTTTAGATATTACGTTAGTTGTTATGTAGTAATAACAATATCAATTCCTCATGATATCGACCTTTGAAAGCCTAGTGCCTCAAATGTTGCACCTCTAATGGAGTCACAAACACCATGAGCAACAAGATGAGTTAAGAGAGCGAGGAGAAGCACAAAAAATATCGAATAACCCTTAGAGATTACTTAGCTACGTTTTTAGGAGCCTTAGGGGTATTTATATACTTATGTGGGTTGCTAGGGTTTCAGGTGAAACCCTAATTCTCTGCTTAGGACTTAAGCAATCCATGGAGTCCTTCTAGAAATCCCTTGGACGAAATCCATATAGGCCTCCAATAGATTTCATCCAATCCCCTTTCCATTAGGAATCCATAGCCCAATTGCAACTATCATGTAACTGCATTATCAGTCCTCTTTATTTAATTAATCTCTTTTAGCCACAAAATTAATTCTTATTAATTCTAGACTAATATTAATTAAACAATACGATTTCTCTTTTAATATATTATTCATATAATATATTAATAAATCATAATTAATCCTCTTTCTCCTTAGTTCATACTATCAGTTGCTATGGTGAAGGCAACCCAAAAGGATCATTCTCTCAATCGATTTAAGTACATACCAAAATATTTATGGGCTTAGACACCTAATCCAACACAAATATCATAACCATCAAAGTTCCAATCCTAGAAGTAGGTGTTCTAGTTGTTCATAATCAATCACATGTCTCCGGAGAATCTGAAGAAAATGTTGTAGAGATAGAAATTGTATATGAAGTTCCAATAATTCCCACTACTTCAATCCTTGGGAACCATCAACTTTATAGGAGGAACCTTCGTCAATAGTTGTGCAACCAATTCTTAGGGTTCAAGATCAATCTGTGGGATGTTCGAAAACTGATTGGGGGGGGGGGGGTTAACAAGTTCAAAACATTCAAATAGAAATTCCACCCAAGGTTGAAGACATTCCATCCAATACAAATGCAGATATTAGAAATCTATCATTTGAAAAGAGATCATCCGCCTGGCAAAATAATAGGAAGTACTTATTTTGGTATTAGAACTTGATCATCCAAAGACCTAACCCAACTCTATCACTATACATAATTCATGTCTTCTACCGAGTCTAGAACCACCAAAGACACACTTCTAGATCATGACTAGATCATTTCAATGTAAGATGAGCTTGTGGAGTTTGAGAGAAACAAAGTTTGGAAACGAGTCCCCAACCTAACGGATCATATTGTAGTTGGTACTCATTGGGTATTGAATACTAAGTTAGATGATACAAGTGTGGTCATATGGAACAAAGTCTGATAGGTAGAAAAAAGTTATAATCAATTGGAAGGAATTAACAACAACAAAACATATGCTCCGGTTCCAATGCTAGAGGCCATATGCATCTTCCTACCATATATGCGTAACAAATGTAAAAGTACATTAGATGGTTGTAAAAGTACATTCCTTAATATTGAATTGAAATAAGATGTATACTTATAGAAACCTCTAGGTTTTGAAAATCTTGATGTTCCTCATTACTGTTATAAGTTAGAGAATGTTGTGTATGGTTGGAAGTAGGAAGCTAGGGCTTGTTATGAAAATATTTTTATGTTTCTTATTGAGTCTTGATACAAGCATTGCATCATTGATCCTACCTTCTTTCGGCATTAGAGTGAAAAGAATTTAATGCTTATACAAATCTACGTGGATGACATAATTTTCGGTTTAACTGATCAAGTTATGGTAGACGAATTCGCTAAGCTCGTCACAAGCATGTTCGAAATGAGCATTAATATAGAGATTAATATTTCTTGGTCTCCAAATCAAGAAAGTCCCATAAGGAATCTTCGTTCATCAGGTACAGGAAACCACAAAATTGCTAACGAAGTATTTAATGGATAAATGTTCTTTGGCAAAGCTCCATTTGGTCTTTGGTTAAAAGATGACCGCAGATCCCACTGGAGAGTTATTTGACCAAAAAGTATACCAATCATTGATTAGTTCTCTATTGTACCTGAGAAGAAGTAGGTCAGATATCGTCTTCGTAATGGGGTTGTATGCTAGGTAGCAAGTCGGTCCGAAGGTGTCTAATATGAATGTAGTCAAACAGATTTTCAGATACCTTAGAAGAAGCAAAGCTTTAGGTCTTTGGTACCCATCTGGGAACGAATTGATTATGCAAGCCTTTACAGACTGTCTATGTGACATCCCCCAAATTCATAGTCATTTTAAAAATTTTATTTATGCTTAATTAAAAATCAAAGTATCCTTTTTGAAAATTAGTAGTGCGGAATTTGTTCGGAGAAACATGATAATGATGTTATCAATGCATTTTCGAAGAAATGTATTTTTACTTAAAACATCGGGATGTCATCGTTAATAAAGAAACATTAGCATGAACATACCTTACACTCATTTGCACTGATGAATTACATATCCTCTAATCTTTCAATTTAATGTATATTCGCATCGATATATGTGATTCAAATAAACTGAGTGGGTCAGGTTGGGAAACCTAGTGAATACATAGCAAATAAAAGCTTTCGGCATATCTGCAAATTCACTTTGTATTCGCTTCAGAGTCCACACTAGAAATAAAAGCTTTCGGCTTTCCAGCGTGACCTGAGCTTCGCATTTAGCTTTTTTCTTTCACTTGAGCTTCACGAATTATTCTTTGATGCTCATAAATTTGAGCATCACACTCCTTTTTTTTCAGCTCATTTTCATCAGGCTCTTCATCTTCACTATTATCGATAATTGGCACTTCAATGAAAAGCTTTTCTTTGCCTTTAGGCTCAGTTTCGCCTTCCGGATTGACAGTGGCCTTGACTAAAAGTTTGGGGTCTTCCTTCTTTGATTGTGTCACACCTTCTCCCCTTCTTTTAGAATAGAACCATATTCTAGAACACCTTATAGTCTGTGAAGCATGGCAAAGACGGGCCTAAGTTTCTCAGAGAGACGTTTCTTAATAGTTATTGTGATCATTGATTCACGAGCCTTAATAATATCTGAAACCATGCCATTGACATCAGCTATACAACTCTTCATAGTTGCTTTCTCAGATAGTAAATCAATGACTTGTTTTTCAGCATTCCTTAACTTGACTGTCAAGACTTTCACCTTTTCAATCTTTAAAGAAAGAGAATCCATGATTTTTCTCTCCATGGCTGAGTCATCCTGAAGCTTTGAGATTTTCGAGGAAATGGATGAATTGAACTCAACATGGTCAGTTGGAAGACCAGTGCGAACCTCTTGAAGTTTCGCTTTCTCTCTTTTAAGGGTTGAACCCAGGCTAGAAATGACTTCATTGGCCTTCGTGTTGTTGGATTAAAGGAGCTCTAGAACTTCTACATGAATACGCGAACATCAGAAATTAGTTTATCGACTTTTTCAGTCATGTTGTTGCAAACAGAAGTAGAAGCATCTACCGCCTTATTCATCTTTTCAAGGTTGGTAGAATGCTCTTTCGTAAGGGTCTCAAGAAGGGATTTTATCGTGGCTTGCGAATAATCATCATTGGATGATGCCTTAGAAGCTTGAAGCAACAAATCTAGTCTTTTATGAATCGCCTTGAGTTTCCGTCCCATGACGGGAGCTTCGTCATCACTTTCAGTCCTGATGTTAAATGGACTGTAGGTGAGTCCTGCGAAGTCTTCATCATCATCACCATATATCATATATGGATCATTTTGGCGAAAAGGAGAAGCGGGTGGTGTTGAATGACCAGCTGCGAAATCTGAAGCTCTTTCCCCCGCATCAGATGCATTGATAGTAACTAGAGGCTCAATATTAGATGTTGTGGTGGTTGCATTAGAATTAGTGAAGAGAGGTGTTTGGGATTGTGAAATCCCCAAGAAACAGGTGGGAATTGGGCAATAGAAATGGATGTTGAAATAGTGGTAGTTTGAGAAGGGATTTAGAATCTCAAAGGTTACCTCAGGGTTCGTATTTACCGGCTCCAAAACCTTCAGATGAGATGTAACATCGTCTTCGTTATGATCCTCTGTTTGAAGATGAACATCTGAAACTGTTTGAGAATTTTAATCTTCATGATCGCTTGGAGTTGGAGTTCTTGTGCTACTAGACATCTTCTTTACTCTCGTTATATTTGGTCCTTTAGTTGGTGAGGATGGTTCAACCTTAGGCTTTCGTTTTGCAGCCTTCTTTGGAGATGGGACTGGCTCAGATGGACCAACCATCATGCCATTTTATTCTCTCCCTTCTTGGGTTTATCCGCCTCATCCAGGACCTTTCACATTTTGTTTGGTAATGGGTGAAAGCCTGAGAGGGGTAGACTATGATAGGCTTGTTATACATCACTCGTAGCCGCTACGTCCTGAAGCATTGCTACAGGAATCAAACCGATGAAGTTGAATTTTGAGTTGTCAACGAGAATGATATTGGTGGTGTGAAAGGTCTGAATAGAAGCCAAAGACGACCATTCCAGTTAGGGTATGTTCAACTTGTTGATCGCCCTATGAAAAACCATTGAGTAGAAGCATGCACAAGAAATTACACTATGTCAAGTTGTTGAGAGAGTACTTTTCACGAACTGAGCCCAGAGGATAGACCCATAGTCCAAGTTAATGCCGGAGTAGATACCGTACGTCATGGTCATGAAGAACTTGCTCGCGTAGTTCGAGCCAGTAATTCATTCAGAAAATCTCTTGAAGAGTAGCGTGAATAAGCCGTTCAACATCGGCGGCAAGTTGGGCCTTTTGAACTTTTAAACAACACTTATTGATTCCTTGTAGCCCATCTGGAAGAACATCTCCAAAATCACTGAGTTTGAGATGCTTTCTGGGTTTAATCAAGTCACGACCCAGAGGAAGCCTGAGGAGTTGAACATATCTTTATTTTGGTGACGTGGGTTTTGTGATTGCTGATTTCGAACGTGACCAATTCTTCCCCTTTTTGATAATTGGCAATTGAGAAGGCCTTTGAAAGATACATCAGAGGAATGCTTTTTGATTTAGTGAGGGTAAGGACAAGTGGAGAGTAATTCAAGCATTCGACGATGCGTTGTAGAGATTCATCGAATTTGGTGGGATCGAGATCGAGAAACATGTTCTTTTTGGCTTTGATATTGAGGAGTGAAGATTGACCCATGGTTTTAGCAACAAAAGGAGTCTATGAAGAAGTTGGCATTGATGCATGAAGATGAAGAAGAGGAACAGTTGATAGAGAAAAATCGTTAGAAGATTTATTTGCTTTCTGAAAGTGGTAATTAGTTATTCAAGTGTCGAAATCCTTTTATATGGTGTATGAAGTGAGAGAAATCTGTCTATTTGTTGCATCGATTACTAAAATGTCTCCTAAAAAAGCATGACTAACAATTTTAATGTGCGTTAGGCGACATGAAATCAACGTCGTTTCATATCACTGCCATTCGAAATTCCCGCACCCAGTCTTATCCATTAAGGTGCCGCATCAAATACGTGCTTTCGCAGTTGAATCAGTTAAGAACTTTCGCAGTTGATTTAGTAATGAACTTCCGCAATTGATTTAGTAATGAACTTTTGTTGTGATGGGTATCAACAAGTCAGCGAAACTGAAAGTAAATGTAAGTGTCATGAACCATACTTTTGGAAAATCACTAGGATCTTCGTGCGAGAATGTGCCAAAGATAAATATATAAAAAAACTTTTATGGGATTTTAGTGATGTCTTATAAAGACATAAAGTAGTGGACCACGGGAAAAGATCTCTTCCTTTGGCATCAAGAGAGACTCTAAAGTGCCTGCGTGGTTTCCAGTTGAATTACGATCACTTGTTTGTTAAGAAACAGTGAAAGACATCTTTTGATTAGGCTTTAAGGGTGGTTTAATATTCAACCAAACTACGAAACTTGATATAAGTCTGAATGTTTGAAGAAGTACTTGTTTGACAGGTGTAGTCATAAAAAAGTATGCTTTCGAATTATTTTAAGTGACTAGGATATGAATAGAAATGTCAAGAAAAAAATAAGAACTAGATCTATTGGGAAGAAACGTCTTAGGTCTAGATCGTCTCGTTAAGATCACACATAATAGGAAAAAAGATTTCTTGGTACTGACGACGAAAGTGGACATTCGTTAATTCCATGCTGAAATATCTATAACATGTAAATTGTTCACCGTCAATTTGTATATGTGTGTTGGATTTTGGGTTTCACCCAATTCGTGGTGATAATGAATTTAAGATCACACACACAGAATTGGTCATAACCATAAACCTCAGTGGTAATTGTTGAGAGTCTCAAGGGTTACATTTGTGAATGCGAAAGTTATGGAGAAAGAGCATGAGATGGTTCCAAATAAAGAATGTACCTCTGCTATGCTAAAGTGACTAAGTACTGAATCCTTAACTCTTTGTGAGAAGAGTCAAGTAGCTCATGACATATGCGAATTTAAGAGCCTCATTGGGAAGAAACGATTGGTGTTATCGATTCATTAAGGCTTCAACATACAAAGTCGTTGAGGCTTTGGTCTATACGCAACAACATGCTTCTAGGGATACTTAACTAGTGCATAGATAAGAAAGTTTATTCCTGCCCCATCATTCGTAATTGAGATCACCAAGATTCTTGACTGGAAACCTTCTTAATTATCCAATATGTTTGGTATTTTTGAAATAAATAAAATAAAAGTGAAGAAAATAAAGAAAATATTTTTGTAATTTGGTTTTTCTGAAAAAAGAAATAAAAACAGAAAGAGATAAAATATTTTTGGATTTTACTGTTTTCAAAAATAAATAAATAAAACAAGACAAATAAAATATTTTTGAACTTCCGTTTTTCTGAAAAAGAAATAAAAACAGAATAAAGTAACAAAAATGTACAAAGGATACATGACAATTCCAAAGCACGAATGAACAGTAAACTACAAGTCACTACGAACATTCACACCAATTTGCAGTGTGAACAGTT